AATATTATAGTTATATAACTTTTCAGATGTTTTTAATTCAGTATTTTTTTCAAGTATTCTTCCAAAATTCAACCACTATATTCCCTAAAAATCAAATAATACCGGTTTTATGTATTTCCGTATTAAACCTGTAGTCAATTCATGTTCCAGGGCCACTTGGTTTAGCCGTGCATTGTCAGCCAATATACCATGGATTGCATATGCAAATTTTGTGTTTGGACCAATCAAATCAATGGATTAACACCATCAATATACTGGTATAATATAATATTGAATAAATATTTATTTCCGATATCCAGCAGAACCTAAACCATCACGCTCACAACCAAGCACCAGATCCGTCACCACCCACTTGAAAACAGAAATATGTTGCAATTGTGGAGTAGTATTATTCATAGCAAATCAAATAAACGCTCATAGAATGTATATATTAATGAGAGTTGTATGTGACAAAGGTATATACCAATTCCTCCTTGTATGACTACGTCACAAGACGTTCCACGTTGCTAAGACGCGCACCACTGTACACGTATTTCTATGGGCTCTTGCAAGGGCGGAAGGCGAAAGTGCCTGGGTTAACAGAATACTAGAAATAATACATGAATATTTTCCTCCTTGAAAGTTATTAGCTACATTCTAGAAATGAAAAAAAAAAACAGTACTACGAGCAATACCGTGGTTTTGACTCCGAACTCGTACATGTATTCGTTTTGCGTCTTGCTCAGACTCTGAGTTTTAGAAAACTCACGTCGAGCGCATACAAGACATGGCCGCGCGCTTTTTGAAAACGTTCGAATGTAGGACGCTTTTACAGCACTCTTTATAATAATATTATAGTTTCGCTAAATATTTCTTTTTTATGGCGGAAACCACAGGGAGTTGGTCAAACTTGTGTATTTTAATAAATTATTAAATAATAAAATGTTACATAACTTTTCTTTTACCTCCCCCCCTTCCTGGTATCGATTTCAAGTAATCACTATCCTTTGTTCATAACACTCTTTCCTTTATCACAATCTTTGTTACGCGCTAATGTTATATGCAAATTTATATTATAGTAAGATATATTCCCTGTGCGGAAACCAAGGAAACGAGGAATCCCGCGAGAAATGTGCACGCGATTGTGAAGCCAAAAACGAAATCGTTCTTTTTGAATATTTGCCAAAACGAAAAAAATTCCGGTGGTGGCGCTGTTCAATACTTCTTATGCTACTAATTCATAACTTACGGCTCGAAGGATAACAATATAATGCGTTTCAAATCGAATGTGGAATTAAATAATATAAGCGAATGGTACAGCCATGTACATATATAAGGTACATTTAGACATAGTTATTCAAAGTAAATGTTTTTATTATCATTATTCAAACAAATCAGCAACATTTAAAAATTGTCATCCATCCTGGCTGATCTTACACTTATGCCGGTTATTATTATTATTATTATTATTACGCTCCCAATCCAGTACCTCTCACAACCCGGTACTAACCCGCTCAAACCTAGCCACAACACGTTCACGACCAATAACCAACCCACTTTAATTCAACGGGCTCACAACATGATATACCAACCCAAACCTGCTGACATCCAAACACTAACTTGCTTACGACCCAACACTAATCGAGCCAAATCCGAAAACCAACCTTATGTCAACCCAACAACGCTTTTAATAATACCCATTAAATCTCAAACTTCATTGTAATTTTTCAATTCAACTATGAGGGGGAGGGGGGGATAATATACCTCACCGCGAAACATAAACAAATGCATTCGTATCATATTGTAATTCATCAAATAATACCATATGTAAAACTCTAAATACTCTCCATCAAAACCAGTCCAAATATATCAGATTCATCGCTCCACTTCTTCTGCAAACAAAGTCCCCCTTTAGCCATAGTATCTTCAAATTGGTCCCATGTCCACTTTAAACTTAGACTTTCTAATTCATGCACATACATCAACTCATCAGCTTCAAAACTCATATGTAAACCTAGTTTTTCTGTAATGGAAATACAATAAAAATGATATCAATTCTTATCAATTATCGATGTTCATCGGATTAAACTAAAAGCAATAATTATTTTTATAATAATTATTGCTGTGATAAATACATATAATACTATGACGAATGAATTCTCTTTAAACCATTTGACATCTGGAGGACTGAAGGATTTTAAAACAATAAAACAATACTTATACTTTTGTAATACTTATTACAATAGAAATATGTTCTCTCAACAGAAGTTTAGTAACAAACTTTTATTGGGAGAAAAAAAATAATGTTCATACATGCTCTCTGCAAAACAAGATAGTGTGTAAGAAGTATTTTACCATTATTTTCGACCCACTCGTTATAACAACCACTGTGCCATTTTGGGGGAGGTGTCGATTGTATGGGAGATAGTGTGCGACCAAAATTGCCATATTGAAAGAAAAGTCGATTCTAAGTCAGACAGTATTCTTCCTACAGCGACATATTGGAGGAAGAGTTGATTCTAAGCGAGATATTGTAAGTGCCACAGCGTCATATTGGATAAGAAACCGATTCTATGTGAAATAGTGTACGACCCACTGTTCAATATTGGATAAGCAGCTGATTCTGTGGGAAGTGGTGTGCGACCCATTGTGCAATATTGGATAAGAAGCTGATTCCGTGGGAAATGGTGTGCGACCCATTGTGCAATATTGGAGTAGGAGTCGATTCCATGGAAAATAATGTGCGACCCACAGTGCAATATTGGAGAAGTCGATTATATTTATGATTATATGCGACCCACTGTGTCATATTCGAGGAAGAGATATTTGTGAAGAAGACGATCATATGTGAGATAGTTTGGGACCCACAGTGCAATATTGGAGAAGTCGATACCATGTAAGATTTTATGCGACTCACTGTACGATGATAAGTTGATTATATGAGAGATTTAGATAGTTAGCCAAAGCATGGCCAAAGCGATCACAGTGGCGTATATTCGTCTTTTAATCCAACATGACATTGTGGTTGAGCTTAATAATGTTATCATATTATTAGGGGGAAATTCTTTTTCTCTGGGTTCTCCACACGTGCCAGGGGGGAATCTCGTCTCGTCTCTCTATCGCGTCCCCTTGAGGTATGGGATCGGGAAAGTCACTTATACTTTACAGTCAAATAAGACACACAATGAAATACGTTTCAACTCTCGTCTTAGTCGGCCAGTCCAGCACTCTATAAGACACAGCGTCATGGGGAAAAGTCCCCAAGACTATCGCAAGGCTGACTCAAGACTCTCCTAGACTCTAGACTGCCCCATGACTCTCCAAGACTCTCAAAGAGTGCGTCTCTCGTGGTGTACTCGCCAAGACCAACTCAAAACTCTCTTTATTCATTTTCAAAACTCTAACCAATTACAAAGCAGTAAAATGACTCTAGGGCGTAACCTTCAATCGTACAGCCAATCACACTAAGTACTGAATACGTCATATCTTTTGATTGATCGTTCACTACATTAATAATTGCGAATACTAACTGTCAGAAATAGTAGTCCGAATAGCGACGGTTATCTCGTAATTAGTTCCAAATAACTGAGCCAAGTTCCGTCCAGGACCTCGCTTGCCTAAACGATGACAGACATAACACAGCAATTCGCTAGTAATCAACTAAATAAGTCGGTCAACAGATACGGGAAAAACAAATTCATCATAATATACCATCGTAGTGCTATTACATGTTTTGGTTCTTTTTACGTCCAAAACCTGATTCTGATGCGCCAGCTGCTGTGTAGTATTACATGTCCTACTTCGAATCACGCCGTCGATCATAAACTAATATTTAATGTTAACACATCCCTACATGTGAAGGGCTTTATTTTACTTGACGTAACGAAATGACCAAATATGGGCATTGATATGTTACTCACCTAAATTTACATCTTGTTTACATGTACTTTTAAGTGCTATCTGAATATATCGTGGATTGTCAACCATATCTACTGCACCATCGCGTACCACCAACTCGAGGTTTAAGCGGAACATTTCTAGTTTGAAGTTAGCCTCGAATTCACGATTTAAGCGGGTTAGACAATTCAGAGCAAACGGTACAGAAGTATGTGGGTCGGTATACATAGCACGGAGTGTATCTTCATCTTGTGTGGTGTCAATACCAGCTAGGAATCTACCATTGTCACCTGTGAATTCAATTATTGTCAAATGGATATAACATACATATATAACTAATCTTAGTTTTTTTCTACACCGCCACATTTCAAGATTGCCAGACTTCTATTTTAATACGGACATTGTAAAATGCCACAACACGTATATGTATATTTAAATCGTAAAAAGCAACACTTGTTTTATGTGGAGATTGCAGACTGTCGCATGTGTATTCATACGAGTATTTTAAACCACCATACTTCGTATGGAGAATGTGAATTGTCACGTGTGTGTTCCTGTGCACATTTGCATTCATATAGAGATTGTAAACTGCCAGTCACACCTGTACTCAATTGGTGATTGTAAACTGCAACCCTTCTATTCACAAACACATTGTAAACTGC